TGCCTGAATGAATGCCATCCTCCCACCTGGGAGGAAAGGGCAGAAACCACCCCCCCCCCCCCGCCCCGAGGTAGAGCCATGACTCTTCCTAGAGAATTTCATCTGCTGGGTTTGAAATACAGAGACAAATGAACCACTGAGGGCCTGAACTCCTACAGCCTAGATCAAGGCCACAGTAATTTTAGCCTGGAAAACAATGGATGGTAATTGGCAATGGATTTCCACCAGGGCGGCACTCCTCTCCCCAATCCTGTTACCCTGGAGACATTTGGAGGTATGTGGGATGGGAGGGGGGTGTTTTATGGCTGTTGGCAAAGAAAGGGGTTACTGGTATTGAGTGGGCAGGACACTGCTCTAGACAGGCCACACTGAGAATGATCCTGCCTCAAATTCCAATAGTACCCCCAGAGAGAAGCACTGGCTGGGACCCAATCCCTGACCCAATCTCAGCCCTGAAACATTCTCAGCAAAGTCCCCCTGGCGCCCTTGCTTGGAGCCACCTCACTCCTTGGCACACCCAGTGAGAGAAACAATTAGGAAATGTGTACTGAGGTAATGGAATGACGCGTTGAGTGGCTTTTATTTATAAGCCAGTTTTAAGCTGGGGAACAGCTACCCAGAAAAGTCCCTTTGGTTTGAGAATAGATGAGCTGTTGCTTTTCTCTCTGGCCATGATTGGTTAGTGGAGCCAGTCATCTGGTCCAGCCACTCCTGGATGGGGATAATAAAACTTCATCCCCTGGGTACAAAGGAATGTTAGCCAATATGTTCTCTAAAGCGAGGGCCATTCTTCCCCATATCCAACAGACGCGTTGGTTTATTAGGAAGCCTGCTTTTGCATGGATGGTGGGAGGGTTTCTTTAGGCTTATGGCTTTTACCTCGAGCCAAGTAATGAAGATCCACCTGAATATCTGTTGCCCCTGGTGGTTTTTTGGTGCACACTCCTGGCTTGCTTTCTTTCCCTCATTCACGCATTCATTTATTCCACAGACATTTGCTAAGAGATGCCTACAACAGCAGTTGTGCTGTGAGGATGAAATGAGATTAATCTGGTAGAGTGCTTACCTAAGGCCGGGTACACTGAAATGCTTGGGAGTTGTTTGTTTTGTCAGCAGGATTGCCAAGTGCCAGACACAAGGCTGGATCCAAAGATCAATAAGACAGATCTCTGTCCCCCCAGAAGCTCCTAGCCTCCTAGAGGGCACCCCCCTCTAGGGGTCAAACAAGGGTCCTGGAGGTGTGATGGATGTGGTACAGTGGCAGCACAAAAGGGAGAGCCAGACAGAGCCTACTGGGTCTCCTACAAGGCCCCAGTTTCTGATGTGTGACCTCTCCCCTCACTCTCATTTGGGGAATCCCAGCCTGAAGAACCCCACCCAGGCCACCCTTAGCCGATCGGCAGGCTCTTCCCTGAAGCTTCCCTGGGTGGGATGAACAGGGCAGGCTGGGGTGAGGGAGGAAGTGTGGGTATTTACAGGATGTATTCCCATCTCTGGTTTTCTAGAAAGTCTGGATAGCAGTGTGTATTGCATTTAAAACACGCTTTGGATTCAGATAAATGTGCTTCGTATAAGTCGAATTTGGGCACGTTTCTTTTTCTTACAGTGGGGTGACAGCTATCTCACAAGGCTGTTATGAGGTGAAGTAAGATCTGTAAAGTATAGATCACACTGCTTAGCCCACGGTAAGCATTAAGTGGCAGCTTTCCTCTCATGTATTTTCTCCTTGCCCTCATGTTGCCATCGTAATAACCCCTTTCCTTTGTACAGTACATTACAGTTTGCAGAGTGCTTTCACATACGTTTTCTCACCTGATCCTCAAATTACCCTGTAAGGCAGACAGGGCAGGTGTGACTTCCCCACCTGACAGATGAAGAAACTGAGTAATTTAGCAAATATCCCCTAGTCAAGGGTGATCTGGGACAGACTTCTTAGTCCTCACCTAGGAGGCAGATGAGTTTGGAGGATTTTTTCTGGTGGTCTGATCATGAGGTAAGAAAGAAGAGTGGCTCTTCGTGGGTGCAGGAGATGCCAGGCAGGCCCCCTCAGCCCTGGGGTTCCCGGAAGCGGGGCTGGCTGGAGACTGGCTCCCTCCCTGCCCTTCCCCAGCAGCACCCCACGAACTCCACTTGGCAGCCCTGAGGGAGAACTGGATGGTCACGGGGAAGATGGGACCTTGCCTAATCACTGTGTGGCTCCACAGTGGGCCAGGGAGCAGTGGAGAGAGCTGAGGGGCAAGGCCTGCTGGAGTGCAGCTGACCTGGGCTGGGAGCCAGCCTGGATGGAGAAGAGAGGCCCTTCTAGGAACCACAAACTGCGGCTACTGCTGATGTGGCAGAGAAGACACAGCTGGCAGAGAGTAACCCTCAGTGGCTCTTTGGTCTAGGGCTATGATTCTCGCTTAGGGTGCACGAGGTACCCGGTTCAAATCCCAGATGAGTCCTACTTTTGCTGGATTTTTCTTTTTTTCCGTTCCCCTTTCCCCACCACACAAGTATACATTGCCTGCCCTTTCTCAAGTTGAAGCAGAGATGACCCAGCGGTGAGTGAATAAAGGACCCTGAAGACAAGCTGCCAATCAGTCTCCCCATAAGCCATGGCCTGTATATACCCCATTATTTCTGCTGAGGCCAAGCCGAGCAGAAGGGGATTGGCATAGCTCCAGGAGCTGAACCTGAGAAGGCAGAGCCAAAGGGTTGCCTCGTGTTAGGCAGAAAGCCTCTCAGAGAGCCTCAGATAAAGAGCGGGTGGTCAGAACAATCAGGGCCTGAGCTGGAGGTCAAGAAAAGGCAAACTCTCCATGTAAAGCCCAAGCTATGAAATGCATTGTCTTCAAAGTCCAAAAGCTAGGAATAAAGTTACAATTCTGAGTCTCAGCTTTCCTCTTGGTAAAATGGGAACAATAATATTCATTTCTTAAAGTTGAGAGGATTAAATCAGAAACTGTATGTGAAAACACTTTGCAAACTATAACACACCTTACAGACATAGGGATTGTTAGGAATACTACTAAAGATAAAGAGAATCTGGAAAGGAAATTCTGACATGACAGACTGAACTAATGTAGTTTCTCTTCACCCAGTGTCCCGTAAAACACACACAGAAATACTACATAAAACAGAATTTAAAAATTAACATATGAACAATTGCAAAATTGGTTTAAAAAGGGAAATTCCCAGATATCAGAATTAAAGAAAGAATATAAAACTAAACAAAGAAGGAGGAGGAGGACAAGGAGGAGGGACTATCACAGTAGCCCATGGTTCATT